AGAGTCCTCTTCCTTTGTCGTAGATCGTGTTCTCCTGGTTGTCACAGATTCTTCATCTGTTGCCGCAGGTCTTGTTCTTCTGGTTGTCACAGAGTCCTCTTCCGTTGGTGTAGGCCTTGTTCTCCTCGTTGTCACCGAGTCCTCTTCCGTTGTTGTAGGCCGTGCTCTCCTCGTTGTCACAGAGTCCTCTTCCGTTGTTGTAGGTCGTGTTCTTCTGGTTGTCACAGAGTCCGCTTCCGTTGTTGTAGGTCGTGTTCTCCTCGTCACAGTGTCCCCTTCCGTTGTCGTAGGTCTTGTTCTTCTGGTTGTCACAGAGTCCTCTTCCGTTGTCGTAGGTCGTGTTCTTCTGGATGTCACAGAGTCCGCTTCCGTTGTTGTAGGTCGTGTTCTCGTCACAGTGTCCTCTTCCGTTGTCGTAGGTCTTGTTCTCCTGGTTGTCACAGAGTCCTCTTCCGTTGTCGTAGACCTTGCTTTTCTGGTTGTCACAGAGTCCGCTTCCGTTGTCGTAGGTCGTGTTCTCCTGGTTGTCACAGAGTCCGCCTCCGTTGTCGTAGGCCTTGTTCTTCTGGTTGTCAGAGTGTCCCCTTCCGTTGTCGTAGGTCTTGTTCGTCTGGTCGTCACAGAGTCCGCATCCGTTGTCGTAGGTCTCGTTCTCCTCGTTGTCACAGAGTCGTCTTCCGGTGTCGTAGGCCTTGTTCTCCTCGTTGTCATAGACTCCTCTTCCGTTGTCGTAGGTCTCGTTCTCCTCGTTGTCACAGATTCCGCTTCCGTTGTCGTAGGTCTCGTTCTCCTCCTCGTCACAGATTCCTCTTCCGCTGTCGTAGACCTCGTTCTTCTGGTTGTCACAGAGTCCTCTTCCGTTGCCGTAGGTCTTGTTCTTCTGGTTGTCACAGAATCCTCTTGGGTTGTAGTTGGTCGTGTTCGCCTGGTTGTTACAGAGTCCTCATCTGTTGTCGTAGGTCTTGTTCTCCTGGTTGTCACAGAGTCCGCATCAGTTGTCGTAGATCTTGTTCTACCGGGTGTGCCGGAGCCGTCCGGTGCCGTAGTGGTGTGCCTTGTAGTTCCAGTTGCTGTAGAGGCTTCATCTGATTCCGTTGTCGTAGATCTTTTTCTCCTGGTTGTGCCAGTTTCTCCTGATGCTGATGTTCCAGTGGGCGTAGGTCTTCGGCTGGTGACAGACTCAGCACTGGACTGTGTAGTAGGAGATCGTGCCCTTCTGCTTGTGACGGAATCCCCTCCAGAAGTAGAGGTAGCTCTTGGGGTTCTACTTGTGACAGAATCTCCATCTGCTGAGGTTGTGGTTGGTCTCGTTCTCCTACGTGTGACCGAATCTTCGGCGGATGAGGTGGTGGAGAGCCCCGTTTTCCTGCTGGTTGTAGAATCTTCTGTGGGTGAAACTGTGGTGCTGCGCGTTCTGCTGCTGGCATTTTCTCCTCCCCGCGAGTCTGATAGAGGGCGTTCCCTTCTGCCACCTCCTGACTCGCCATCTCTTGAGGCAGCGGCCGTTCTGTCTCTCGCTTCTGTTGTTGCTGCACTCGAACCATCAGCACCACGGGATCGCGAGGAGCTGCGCTGACTTCGCGTAGTAGACGATCCACCGCTTGGCTTGGCAGCGTTGGCCTGCATTCCGTCTACCTCTGCTTCATGTGGCTGCGTGCGCCTACCACCATCGCCAGTAGTACTCTTTTTCGACTCTGTTGCCTTTGGTGTTGTAGTTGTTGTTGTAGGCCGCCGTTTGGGTCCCCCCGGAGGGCACGGCCTCCTGAGGTGGGCGACAGCTAGCTTGGGGGGATTGCCTAGCACAGGCAACCAGTCGCGGTTCTCGATGAGCTTCCTTGGGAAGAGCCCTAAAATCGGACACATGCAACAGGGGAACAAGAGCTTCAGCTCGAGGACGCTGCTCAGAAATGAGAACCCTCCCTCCTTGCACGAATAGGCTACTGACAATGTCAGGAGTTCAGTAGTGATATGCATAATACAGGTAGAAAGGACCAGTTGGTTATTATCAGGTCAACACATATGCATTATGGTGGGGCTTCTTGGCCGACTCTTTGTGCGTCAAGCGCCGCGCGGTTAAGTGATCGTCAACAGACTGATCGCGTGTTGTTCACAGCAGCTGTTAGCAACCCACCTGGAAGGGCAAACCAGTGGAAGATGCCTTGGATAATGTGTTCGTTGCCGGGTTTTCCAAGAGCGTCAAATACGCATTTCGGCACTGTCTGCCCATTCGGAAATACCCATCCACTGTCTCGCACAACAAACACCGTCACCGGGCCCGCACGAGCCATCTGGAGACACAGGACACCAACGACGAATCATAACGAACAGGCTTCACTGAACATATGGCACACACAGGAAGACACGAAATCATATCATAAAGAAGGCTAGGCACAGCATACACTCAGGGGAGTCAGGTGAATGGGTGCAAGGCATAGTTCAGGGAACACTGAACAACAGGTAGGGAGTAACGCATCCTAAAATACGAATGCATGAACTATGCACCAGAAAAAGCAGTTGATGTGCAAAGGAAGACAGTTGAATACGGCTAACGAAACTTTCGAACAAAGGGCGTATCAAAGTAGAAAGACGTTCACCAAACGATGGACCAGGATGATCCTGCATGTTGAACATGAACAAGAGCAGATGACAGACAAGCCAACATATTTCTATAGCATATTAGATGCGACGATGCAAATAGTCGCAGTAACGCGCCTGCTCTCGCAGCTCTCGGGGCAACTTTTGTACGAAGAAATCCAACTTGGCATATTCGGGAACTTCATGGAAGAAATTGACAATAGTTGGTCCGGGGTTCCACCTGAAGGGAAGGACGTTGTCTATTTTATAGATGTATCCTCTCTTGGCCTTGATGACTTCGACGACATTCGACTCAAAACCGTTCACAACAACTCGCAATAGGCGCATATCCCGCGTGCCGTTGGGAATGACTTTAGCCGGAGCAGCAGCTTTGGCTTTCCCGCCCTCTCTTCCACCGCCTCCACCCGAAGGCCCCGGCCGTCGAGGTGATTTTTTCTTCGCTTCGGTGCTTCTCCCACCCTCACCCCGTGTAGGCCGTCGTCGAGATGCACTTGTGCGCGAGCTCTCACTGCTATCCTCCTCATCTTTCTCTTCATCCTCCTCCTTCGTTGAGCGTCTGGGTGGTATGGTTGTCAGGGTCGTGATGCCTGTCGGTGAGCGAGTGGAAGAGCTTGATCTGTCGCCTTCCTGCCCCCGTGGTGTACGAGATGCACTTGTGCGCGAGCTCTCACTGCTATCCTCCTCATCTTTCTCTTCATCCTCCTTCTCCTTCGTTGAGCGTCTCGGTCGTGTGGTTGTCAGCGTAGTGCCTCCTCTTGGGCCGCGCGTAGAAGAGCTCGATCTGTCAGCTTGAGAGCCCCGTGGTGTACGGGCTGCACTTGCGCGTGAAATCTCACTGCTATCCTCCTCATCTTTCCCTTCATCCTCCTGCTCCTTCGTTGTGCGTCTGGGTCGTGTGGTTGTCAGCGTAGTGCCTCCTCTTGGGCCGCGCGTAGAAGAGCTCGATCTGTCAGCTTGAGACCCCCGTGGTGTACCGGCCGCATTTGTGCGTGAACTCTCACTGCTATCCTCCTCATCTTTCTCTTCGTCCTCCTTTTCCTTCGTTGTGCGTCTGGGTCGTGTGGTTGTGAACGTAGTGCCTCCTCTTGGGCCGCGCGTAGAAGAGCTTGATCTGCCGCCTTGGGACCCCTGTGGTGTACGGGCTGCATTTGTGCGTGAGCGCTCACTGCTATCCCCTTTTGTGTCCTCTTTATCCTCCTTCTCCTTAGTTGAGCGGCTGGGTCGTGTGGTTGTGAGTGTAGTGCCTCCTTCTGGGCCGCGCGTAGAAGAGCTCGATCGGTCATCGTGCGGCCGGCGTGGTGTGGTGTCTGCAGGTGGGGAGGAAAGGGGTGCTGTGACAGAAGAGCCGGGCGCGTGCGATTGTGTTGTTGCAAGCTTGTTTGGAGCCGTGTGGCTGTTGTCCGGGGAGGGGGGCTGTTGAGTCGTGCGTGGGAAGCGAGTGATGGAGGAAGACTGGGGCCGCTGGGATGCGAA